GCACAGCATGTGCACAGCAAATATAGAAAAAACGTATCGTTGCTTTAAAATCCCATGAAAATATGTGAAAATCAGTGTTGGTTGGTTGTGTGTATCCCCATTTCTGGCTAGTTCAATCCACAGGGTCTTCAGATTTCATTATTTGTTGCAGTTCGATCCTGCCAATCCTTCTGGTTGTTTAAAACATTGTGTATCCAAATGTCAGAAGTAGAAGATGGATATCTAATAACTCTGATTTTTTTCTGGTATGTATGCGTATATACAGTACATATATATATAATATTATATATATACAGTACATATATATATATATACAGTACATATATATATATATACATTATATATATACTGTACTGTATATATTATACAATTATATATGTATATATACATATTTATATTATATCCCCAGTTCTATCCCGTGCAATGGCCGGGCGAGGCACTCAGCCCTTCAAGTCAAGCACGGCGAGAAGGTGGGAAACCCCCAATGTTCAATTTTTGTTATTGACAAATCCCGGCAACGCATGGCAAGTGTTGGTTGAAAATCCAAAGTTTTAAGGTGATTTCCGGCAATATTGGTTGAATGAAGTCTGAGAAATATCTCCGTAAATTATCAGAGCCTCGCTGTGATGTCACTGGATAGTTTGTAGGGGTAAGTATCCCAAGATATAGATCTGAATTTGGCAGTTGTTCAACCAAGCCGTGTCTGGTCATGGAAAAGCAGCGCAAGCGACGAGGCAAAGCTTCCAAAGCATGGGGAGCAGGTGCAGGGCTTTGCTAATCATACGCGGGTCTTCCAGAGTCTTCCATCTGCAGAATAGATCACGGAGTCTTTCCAGTGGACACAATGAAGCGCCAAAAATGGATAGCAATTCCTTTTTTCTGGGATCTAAATCTGTTGATTCCTATGGACCTATAGCATTTTGGGGAATATTTGGGACTGCTCCCTGGAACTGCTGATGGTGTCCCTGAGGCGAACCAGCGTGTTCACAATGGCCACGGCTGCAAGCAGCCGTGTTGCCCTTGGGTGTCACGAAGGGCTCGGCGATGAAGCTGTCAGTGACAACAGCAATTTGTTCAACCTGAAATCTCATGAAATCTCCACAAAAGAGACTGTAATGACACTAGGATGGACTTATAATGTTATATGTTGACTGGTGTTTGTTGATCGTATGCCGACTTCGACACTGCTTCACTTCATTTACTCCCGTGTTCATCAGTTCGTTGCCAATGTTTGGCAGTGAACATAGTGAACATACGCAATAGTTACGCAATGAAATTAGATCCTGAATGGAGAAATCACATCAAAACCAGATTTCACAGTGAAATCCCCATGATGAGATTGTATGATTAGACAAGGTGAATCAGTGAGATGCCAGTGATTGTATCCCCCGATTTTATGTGAACCTTCGCCGCCTCAACGGCTATCCAGGTCGCGCGTCGGCGTCGTCAAGTCGTCGAGACAGTGCCCACAGTCGCGGACTGAACCGGGTAGCTGGGATGATCAGTTGATCTCCGCGACGTGAAATGACGTGAAAACCCGTGGACATCAGTAGACTCTTTGGTTTTGATGTTTGATCCCTATCATATCAACATAGCCTTAATAGATCATAATAGCCAATATTGGTATGGGTCAATACCTATAGATACATTTTTAGTGGGTTATTCACATCCATCATATCCATCCATTTACCAGCTATTTTGAGGTGAACAGAAGGGGTACCTATGGTTTTGATTGGTTTTGACACACTGCCATATAGCATCCTATAGCCAATCACTCCTTCATCGCAGTGAGCAAAGTTGAGGTAGCCATGGGTGCCGGCCTCAGAGCTGGTGAAGCCTAAGCCGGGGCTGAATGGTTTTTACCATTTAAGTTACCTCAGTTTTTCGGGTTCAAACATGCCTTAAACTTAAATTTCATAGGGACTTAACCTATCCCATAGGTTCCATAATTATATGCTGTATATGGTAACATTTACCATCAATATACCCCCAATGTTAGCATATATACCATACATGGATCCTATGGGTATAGTGTCCCGCGAAAGGAAAGTAGCTGGGAACGAAAGCTTGCAAAAGAGCTTCACGAAAGAGTGTCAGAAGACATGCGCCGCGAAAGCGCCGCGAAAGCATACTCCGTCACATAACAAGTTCTCCGCGAAAGGGCCGCGAAAGTAAATAACAACAAAGATGTTCCCGCGAAGCTAAAACTCTGGTGGCGAAAGCACCGTGAAGGCCGCGCGAAAGCAATTCTATATGCTAACCAGCTGATCAAGTGTTTATGAACACTGCTCAGTTCTCTTTGGTGTCAAAGGCATTCAAACGCTGTATCTGGTTGGTGGTTTCAGACATGTTTATTTTCCATTTCATATATGGGATAATCTTTCCCATTGACGAACTCATATTTTTCAAGATTGTTATTTTACCACCAACCAGGTATTGTTTAAGTTGATTTCCAACCCAAACTGGGAATGATGATCTCAAGCAACCATGTAACCATGGTGTGTGTTTGTGATAAATTTGAACACCAACCAGTCATGGCCTTGACGCATGGAATCGCATGGTCAATGTTTGATGTCTCAGGACCAATGTCAGGGACTTAGCTACAACTTGAAGCTGATGTTGCCCAGTGATGCTTAAAAGTTGATGAAGAGATTGCAAGAATGGATTTCTTTGTTGGGAGCAACAAACAAGTTGGGGAAATCGGCCATGAAAACTAGACAAAGAAGTCAGTTAGTTTTCAAATCTAAGTACTCGTGACTCTGTCGGGCATCCTAACAGTCAGAAACAAGTGCCTATCGACCAAGCCTGCTATGTTTCTTTCTGAATGCTAGATTCGCACAGAACATATAGACCAAGCTTCTGACCAGAGCAGCTGAAAGTGCTACGGTCTATCCGTGTGTGTGCACAGTACGTTTTTTGACTTTCATCCTTCAGATATCTTCAGATCCTCAATGCCAAGTCGCTGAGGAGATGGCTTTGGATGATTTTCCAAAGACAATCACTTTGTCCAGCTTTTTCGGTTTCCTGGAGGTGCCACGGGCTGTGCCCAGCTGTGCCAAGTCATCGAAAAAGCCAAGTCACCAGCGGCAGCTGAAGCCGGATTTGGTCGGTAGGTGTACCGTCAACGAGAGGGCCTCGCCCGGTGTCAGGCCACAATCTGGGGACATCTGGGGACTGAAACGGCAACCTTGGGGACACAACTGGAACAGCTTAGAACAGCTTGAACCAAGATGAACCAAGTACAACAATAATGTCAGTGCGTAGAACACATTCTATCCAGCTTCAAGACATATCAAGACGCAAGACTCGGCGGAGTGGCCTTGGGTCTCTTCGCTTGGACGATGCAGTGGCGGTCGTTGGGTGTGAGCATGTCACTTGTGATTTCCCTGTCCAGTCTTGCTCGTGCATGGCTGCAAGTTATATATTTACGTATATTGTATTATATTAACATATTTATCGGCTGGAAACAAATGAACTAGTCAAATGTATTCAAATGTCATCAAATGTCATTATTTGGCATTTTTTCCCTGAATCCGCTCATCCACCCATCCACGCTCTGCTGGTGGTTTCCCATACTTCAGAATTCTATGAAGCTTATCTCCATGTATCTCCTAGATCCTACTTTGATCTACTTATGACGTTAGTCCCTACTTCATCCATTCATAATCCACAAACGGATCATTTGTCTATCTGGTTTGTGAATACCTACTTCAGCTAACAATTTGTCAAATTCTGCAGATAATGGAGCTCGAAGCAGCGCTCAAGAAGTATGACAAAACAGGCATGGCCAGCTGAACTTGGTACCTGGATGATCCTGGATGTACCCGGGCTGGATCTGTTGGGAAAGCCTTGATTTGTGACGGAGGAATTGCCTTTAAATAGATAAATTTGGATGAATCAGAATAACCTCACTGTGAAATCATTGGAATGATAGTTAACAGGGAGATTCATCCCCAAATGGCTTCAAATTAGCGAAGTATTGTACTTGAGCCAGAATAAATTTGAAAAAATGGAACTGAATATTGACATCTTGGTCCATGGACCTGGTGCAAGTGGGCACAGTTCAAAAGATCAGACTAGAGGCAATGGCCATTTAGATCAGAGAAGTGGCAATGTTGGCAATGTGTTGTCGTGTGTACTCTTAATGTGCTGCAGGGGATTGTGCTACACATGTTCTCTTCCGTTGAAAGACTACTACATGGACAGAATCTCATCAAGTCACTTACTGATGCAATACTCAAGACTCAAGAAGCGTTAAAAGCTGTGGCACTCAGGCAGGTTTCTATTTTGACAGCTCCAAAGCTACAGATGCCCTTTTTTCATGTCAATCCCGTCCGCCGGTGGATGATGTCAGATGTGTTTTCCCATGGTGTCACTCAGGGCGCAGATCTAGAGAATTCTAGAGACCTCAGAGACCACAGTTCCACCCGCATCTGCCGTGCTGAGTCGTCTGACAACGGCAGGGTATGGGGAGATCGACACCAAGGACGTCGGCAAGGCATCTGGAGATTGCTGGACATTGCGTTTTTTCCATCCGATGATGTTGTGGAGCACAGTTAAATTTGGTGTTTTTTTTGTTTTTAGATGTTTTGCAATAATCCAAACCATGTTTGGGGTTATCCAATTTTGACCCATTCCCATTGCAGCATGCATCATGATAACTGAAAAACAATTTCTTCAGTGAAAGTTGTAGTTCGAATACAAATATTCCACCAAGGCTTACATGTGGGTGAAGTGTCCAGGACTGCTACGATGGCTAAGAATTTCACTTGATAATGAAAGGAAAGGATGTCAAACAAGTAGGCAACAAGAGAAAACATGTTCTTTGCCAGCAACGTAATTTTCAAGAAATTCAAATTCAATCTTAGGATGATATATTTATGATATATTATAGATTATTATAGGCACCATGGAATCCATGGAACTTCATGAATCAAGGGGATGCTTTCGGATCTCAAAATCCATCGTTGCAGCACGTTTTCCAACAGGTCCTGCGCTGGATGGGCTACGCCTCCGGCTTCAACGTGCAGCTGATGCTGGTCTCTGAGGCGATCCCGTGGTGGAGCGGCTCGCTAAGCCAGTTGGAGCTGTGTTCATCTTCCCTAAATGAGCTATAGTTACCCTCTGGTAAACTAACATAACTATGGAGATGTACAGTTATAGAGCTATGCATAAATTTCAGGAGACTGCGAATGTTATAGAGTTATAGATAGAAAATGCATGAAAATGCATGATGATCATAGGATAAGTCTTCAGCACAGATGGAGAGATTCGTCCAAGAGCTGCTGAGATTAACAAGATGCAAGAAAAACATATAGAAAAACCCTCCATTGTTTGGTGACTTTCCCATGGATTTTCCCATATTTTCCAATGATTTTCCCATGATTTTCCTATGTTTTCCCATTTAAAGCTCCATTTCCCCAGCGATTTCCTTGCGCTGCGACCGCGCTGAGTCAGGTGGACGTGGACGAGTCCGGCACCCTGGACGCGGTGGAGCTGCGGAAGTTGCTACGGAAGTTCCAGGAGAAGGTGCGGCGGCTTTCCGGGTCGGAAGGTCGGGGTTGCAGTTCCAGTGAGATCAATGGTTAATAATGGTTAATAGTGGTTAATAATGGGATCATCTATATTAATAGTGGTTAATAGTGGTTAATCATGATAATCAATGGTAATGAACTGGGTATGGATCAATACCTATTAATACCATTTTTAGGGGAATGAACATCCATAAATCCCAGCTATTTTGATGTGAACTACAGGGGTACAAGGTTTTGACACACTGCCATCTCTTGCTCACATAGGATACATTAGACATATGAATTACATATGACATATATACGTACCAATAAGATATATCATAATAATATATCATATGTAGATGTATAATTATTAGATGTATATATATATATATGACATGGACATTTGAATGTATCTGTTCGTATTCACTATAGGAGTGGATGATAATCCAATTTGTATAGTGTTATATACATATACATGTGTGTACACACAGATATATCTATCTATATATATATATTTGCAATTATTTGCACATATTCACCAGGGTCATAATCAATAGTGTTGTATCCCAATGGATGTGAGCTCACCATAGCTATGCCCGTAAAATTAACCACAGCTGCACCACCAAGTGACTACGTGGGTCACAGAAGAAGATTGGTGGTGGTGCTTGATGTTTCTTTTTTTGTGGGAGTGTGGGGGGTCCATAAGGGTCGAACTTCAATATCTTCAATGTTAATCTTTCTTGTTGGAAGCATCTTAGAAGATCTTTGAGAGGTTGTCAAGCAAAGATCCAACAAGGTGCGATGCCAACAATGAGGTTTTCCGGCATTCCAGTGCGACAAAATGTCAGCAAAAAATAACGGAGATCCCTACCCCGGTTACCCGGCCCCGGGCTCACATTCACCCAGAAGGCTGGGTGTTGGTCTATTATAAGTCTTAAAAAAGCCTTGTGCCTCCTGTGGATGTGGAACCCCAGTAACTACTTTTACATGTCTGTACTGAGATTGGCCAATTTGGACTTTGGGGGAGTCAGCAATCTTGTGGCACCAGTGAAAACTCTGACGGTAAAGTATGTACTTCTAAGTTTGATTGGTTTTATGAAAATGAAGTACACCCAACATCAAGGTGCACTGTCCCAATCTAAGTACCCCATGATACCCAGTGGAGGAGTTGACAGCATGGACCGCTGCTTTTCACAACGCGCTGCCGTACGGGGAAAAGTACCTGGAGGCACAGCCAGTTAGGTGTGACAGACCTGAGCCGACATATGCGCCCATGATCACCCCCCAAAATTTGGTCAGTGATGACACGTGATTGAAAGCCGTTGATCGACGATATTGAATGATAGTGATTCATGTTCCATGAAATTGCTGTAAACTGACCAAAAACTCACCATCACCAGAACCATTTTAGGCACGCAAATTTGTCCAGGATTGATGTTCCAAGCAACCAAATGTCTCCTTGCATGATGTTTTCCATTGGATTTCTTTCCAGGATTGAGGTTGATGTTCCATAAATCCAGAGAATCTTGTGAAGAAACAACAATATCTTGATGTTAAACTGGTGTCCATTAAAATTATACTTAGTAATTATATTAATTATATAAAGGTTTCATGAACATCAACGGTTTGTGTTTTGTTTCCAATAATCCCAATATAATCGTTGATGTACTAATAATCCATTATATTGGTTTCATGATCCCAACAATACATAATCCAATAATTATTAATTAATCCAATCGACCCAATCGACATCGAAATGTCGTCTCCGTCCCCAGGTGGAGGCGTGCGTCCGAACCCTGCGGGGTGTTGGCATCAAGGCGCCGCCTGGCAAAAACTGGAGGGAATTGCCGCCCGTTGTGACGGAAAAGACATCGCGTTTTTTACACGGTTAAATATATATGATTACTGGATATGAACCTGGTTGGTGGTTTCAAATATGAATGAATTTTATGTTCCATTTCATAGTTTGGATCATCCTTCCCATTGACGAACTCATATTGTTATGGTTAAAAGCCACCAACCAGATTAGATGTGGATGTTTTTTGGATGATTTTTGTTGAAATCTTGAAACAAATGAGCAACAAATGGTCAGACATGTTGTCTGTTGGCTACAGCTTGGACATCCAGTGGATTGTTGGATGATGACTTCGGCTCATAAGTTGAGCAGTTGATCACTTCAGCAGTCATTGGAACATGGAGCGTGTTGGGTACACCGGAGCGGCGAAAGTCAGGAACTGCTTAGATTATCTTAGATCGCAGCTCTGCATCAAGGTAAAACTTGCGACTCATAAGATATTAAGATAGTTTAAGTTACTTCTGGTTCCAACATTTTCCAAAGATGCCATTTTTTTCAAGGTGGATTCACCATCATAAAACCACCAATCATTCGCCATGTCATTCGCCTCGGGCGCACCCGGGATCCCCGGGATCCCCGGAGGCGACGGAGGAACAGGTCGAAAGCACGCGTGGCTTGGAGAAACCTTTGGTGAATCATGGTGAAGAATGGTTATAACCAATTAATATCAATTAATCACAGATGTTTGTCATCATTTTATCATCTAACAATATATATGGTTTAAACAAATAGATTTAAACATACATCGTAACTCATATAAAATCATATTCCCCATGACATGACGTGTGAATGGCTGCGTGAACAGTCGCAGAATCTTCATTCTCAGTCGCAGACATCACTGCAGGTGAAGCGATCGCCAGTAGTTTTTCCAGCAAGAAACGATTCAGTGCGGAGTTCAGCGGGAGTTGTGGGCTTTGATGCTGACTCTGGTGAAAGGTGACATGACACGGAGCAAAAAGGCATTGATACTACGGGTATGTACATTTAATAATATGGCTATATGGGTTACTTGGATACGCTTGGACATTGAAAATTGATGCTACTATATATTGATATAGGTAAGCTATATGAAGCTGGATATGCTATTCATGGCACTAAGACCTGCCGCTCGCTCCCAGGTACCATCATGCAGGCGCCTCACATGGCAGATCTGGTTTGGGCGTCTCAGATCGGCTGCAAGTCCTTCAGGCCAAAATTAGGTACCCCATGGTACCCCAATAATTAGATGATGAACATTGAGCATTCATATACTGAAATTCTGGTCCCATAGGGCTGAAAAAAATTGACCCCCACCTGTTGATATTGAAATTATGATGTTTGGGTTGACCGAAACACTCCAAGAATGTGAAGGTGAACCTCCTGAACTGATTCATGCTGTTCACATTTTCGGGTTGGGGCACGTCAAAGAAACTGTCGGAGGTGCCCTGATGCGCACGGATGTTCCTCATCCAATTTCAAGTTTTCCTCATAGGGCTGGTGGTTCAAAGCATCTCTTCTAGCGCTTGGAAAAAGATACCATCTGGTAATCTAACATAGCTATGGAACTGCTATGGAAAATGGCCAGTTCGCAGATGATCTATGAAAACTGCGGGGCTTTTCGTAGCTGTTAGATACACAGAGGCAGTCCAGTGTTTTAGGTCATTTTCCAGGTGCCCCATCCGAGGCCAAGTTGCGGAACAACATCTTGCTGAAGCCCACCCCACAGGACGGCGTCGCTGGCGTCAGAGCTGAGGTTGGTTAGGTTGGTTGGGTTGGTTAGGTTGGTCTCGGGTGCGGTTTGACATATTTTGACATATTTTGACATATATTCTCTTTCCAAAGTCAGTTCTCGCACTTGGTTTGGATCTATTCCACATAGGAGCTGGAATGGCTACCATGCAGACCGCGGAAAACTCCAGCAGTTCCAGCTTCGCCGCCGATGCCAGTGAGAGCCCGGGTGCTCAGGGGGGACATCATCGGACCATGGGAAACTTTGCCGTTGACATCGTTCGCTGGAAGTCTCCATGGAAGTTTTTCCATGGAAATCTGAAGGTTCAAGCTAATTATATATATATGATATATGATATATATATATATATATTATACTTACAATGAAAGTGGTGTAGATTTTCCCAGCCATCTTGGCATCTTGAACTGCTCGGAGTTGATCCAAGCTGTGAGGCTCAGAGGAAGAAAGTGAAAACGAGGCGGCGGGTGATTGAAATCAGATTGAACCACCCGATTGCACGTGCCTATCTTCGTTTACGTGTAAAGTACATGCATATAGTATCATATAGTATCATAAAGTATAATTATAGTATAATATGTCTAATCTATTGAGAATAATATGTTGTATATACAATTATATACATATCCTACAGGGCATCAGTGTTTTTCCTAGTCAACAAATGGGCCTGTTTTTCACAAAAAGGAATTGAATGAGGAGGGGAGTCCAAAGTTGAGCAGATTTGCCCACGCAATGTGACGCTTAGTGCCGACAACATATCAGCCTTTTCAGCAGTTTGCAAAGAAGCAAATTCCGCCTTAGGCATATAATTTCTTCAGTGTATTTGACTAGGATTTTACCAACTTTACCTTTTTTTTGTGTGCTATTTTACTGTGGCTTTTCTGTCGTCAGGATGACAACGGCAACATCGACCTGGCCGTCTTCCACTTGATCTGCTCCAAGTTGGTAGCTGAGGCGCCAGCGATTGCCAGGACATGTGGTTTCCAATCTTCATTTAGTTTGAGTGACTTGAGTGTGCAAACTAAATGAAAATTGGAAACTAAATGAAGATTGGAAACTAACAGTAAAACTAAACAGTGAAACTAAACTTAGTGGTTTCATTTAGTTTCATTTAGTAACACTGTTTAATTTTCTTTTGGAAACCCCAATGCCATAAGCTAGTAAACAAGCAGTTGGGTGTTATATCGTCCAAGTTATAGCGGTATATAGCGGTATGCCGAGCCAAAAAAAACTGGGGATGGTTCAGTGTGACATTTGGTTTACCACATTAATCATGTTCCCCCTACTGTTAGCTGGACACCAGCTACTTTGGCTCGAGCCACACCACTGCCTCCAAGGCATATTTCGGAAAGACGTTACATGTATTCTGACTGAGGTGCGTGTGTGTGTGTGTGCATGTATGTATAATTATGTATATATATATACTATATACACGTATATGTGTGTGTGCAATGCAAGTGTAATGCATTTGTATGCATTTGTGCTACAGAACACGCAAACCATCGGATGTATAGGTGCAGTGTGGTGCAAGACATGTATGGGAAAATATGGGAAAACGTTTGAAAAGGAAGTATACTGTCGATGTGGATAGAGATATCCTTTTTCTGAGAAAAAATCTTTGGAGATTCCAAGTTTTGCTGCCATGGTGCGCGCTTTTCAGCGTTTACAGCTGCTACGGCAGCAGCTGACCCGGGGCGTGGCTTCGGGTGAACAATTTTTGGACGTGAACGGAAGGAAGCTGCCTCCAGACGTCGGAGAATTGGGAAAACTGGGAGACCTCACCTACTGAGCCAACAAGAGACTATAGACTGGGGTTGAACCAACAAAAGATTGTAGAATATATTGATATACTCTATATATTAACTATATATTGTATATAGAATATGTTGCTATTATATAGAAACCTAGAGAATATAAAGATGGTGATCTCACCAAGAAACTTTGTCAAATTGTGTCATCCAGAATCATGGAGAGCACTGAACCAGCAAGAACAACATGAATTTTATGTAAGGAATTGTCAAATTTGATATCAAAGAATGCTGGTGACATAGTGTTGACCGCTCGGTCATCGACAACAACCAGCTGTTTGGTGTGATAAACGGGCGACCAAAGTCTTGACCCATACCCAGATGACCGAACTTGTGGATTTGGGGCTCCATAGTGGAGGATTGTAGTCTTGGAAAAGGCGGATGGATATTGCACATTGCCCATCTTCATTCACTTGGGGCTCCTATGCTAAATTTAAATGTGGTGTCAGAGGAAATTTCTGCTACACCGCCGCTTGCTTTCTGTGTCAAAGGAAGACGTGGTTTCTTTCCAAAGTACATTCAAGGCATCCATTCAAAGCAGAAAATAAGGTGCGACATAGCTGTGTCGGGGGTGCCAATGATTTGGCAGACACAATGTGACAGACTGCTGTTTTGACCGCTCAGCCATCAGCATCCCAGGTATGTCATCGTTCGTGGGGATGTGACTAAAGGCGGGTTGTAGTGTTCATTGAATAGTGACCGCAGTGTGAAACTCATGAATTTCAACCTCCCGGGACTTAGCTTTGTAGATCCCCTCAAAGACACCATTGAAACATACATACATATATATCATAGATATATCATATATATATATATACTGACACTTAGAGATATAATGATTGATATAGATATAGATATAGATATAGTGTATATATATAATTATCTATATCTATATCAACACATACAATATACTTCGATGTTTTCCATGCCCCTCAAAGCAATGCTTCGCCTTCAGCTCCAGGCCCTCCGGTGATTTGCCTCCCTGGCGCCATGGGCACGGCCGAGACGGACTTTGCCCAGCAGCTGGAGGGCTTCGCGCCCTCCATGGGGGTCGTGGCGTTTGATCCCCGGGGATATGGCAAGTATCTTGGCCAGATCAAGCTGATGTGATGAAGCTTATGGATATATAATTAATAATGATATGTACATGTTTGCTTATACGTATATATATATTATATTTATACTGTATATGTTTATACAGATGTATACAGATGTATGGTTATTTGGCTGTCATGTGGTGAAGTCATGTTACATGCATGATTACATTATGTTTTGTTTTATATCAAACATCCGCTTTTCAAGAAACAAGAAGCTGCACTTGATTTGTTGGGCACTGCTTCGGATCCTCCCGGAGTTTGATTGTCAGGTCCAGACCCCCTGGACGTCGCTATCCGGCGGATTTTTATCACCTTGAAGCTGGCCACAAAACTGGTTCCCCGGGGGGAAAGATTTGATGGTTTGCTCCAAATTGCAGTTGGGATTCCAGTTTCAGGATGTTTTAGATTTTACTGCTAGGATGAAAGTAGGATGTTTATGGATTCTGGATGTGTTGATAGCTATGCACCTCTATGGCGTCAGTCATCTATTCATGCATTTGGATTTAGATTTTAGATTAGCTGATTTAGATTGATTTAGCTATATCTTATCCAAACTGCAAGCAGTCTGAGAAAGTTTTTGCTCTATGGGATCCTGACAGTCTGACATCTCAGATAAGGTCATCACTGATCCAAAATAAGATGCTGCAAGCGACTCTCCATCCCTTGGTGTTTTAGGAAGGGATCCCCAGATCACCCAGGATGCCCAGGATGCTGCCGGCATCATGGATACCCTAGGTGCGGCCTGGGCCGCCAGTGCCAGAGCAACGAACCCTGGGTTGATCCCAAAAGTTCAATCCTACTGACTGTAGCCTGTAAAATATGTGGAAGTCGAATTGACTTCATTGGACCCTGCAGTTTTCAAAATTCTTGGCACCCCTGTCATTGGTAAAGACGCTCTTTGCCACCGATTCCGGAACGAACAACGGGGACATCACCACGGAGACAACGGCGTCAGACAACGCCAGGCATCAACTCGTACCACGTCATGGGTTGGAGCGACGGTGCTATTTCTGCGACCATCTTGGCGGCGAACAGGCGACCCTGAATTTGGGGCTTGTTGGTATAAAGGGATTCCCATAATGGGTCATAAGAACTTAACTTATGACTTAATACCATAATATAAAGGGATGTTCATTTCTTGCCTCGCCTTCATCGGTCAAGAAATATTATAGACAATGAAGAGAGGCGTGTGTGACTGTGTACCAGCAGCAGTGTTTGAGTCGCCATTGTTCCCCAGCTGAAGCACTGAAGTCAGTGTCCTTTGGTTTGTCCCTATCCAGGCCTGCTGCTGTGAAGAAGTTGGCAGTTTTTGGAATCCAAGGCCAGTGAAAGCTGAGTCCAAAGATGGCTAGGACCCTGTAGCGTTTGGACGTTTTGAGAGCTGCATGGTGGTTTCCCCACAGAACATGATGAACATGAGGATAGCACCAAGATGGTCTTCCAGAAAAATATCGAAAAATGACCCGTCGGACCAGGGACCACTCATGTTTGGATGATTTTCAGCATCCAACTGTACAATGTGAGGCCCCCAAGATAGCTAAGTTGGCTTATAACTCCAATAACTATGGTTTATGGTACTTATAACTATAGTTACTGGGGCTTATAAACCAACTTATAACTGGGGGGCCTCACATTGTAGGGATCTTTACGAGTGAGGTCGTGTTCCAAGGATGGTGAGGTATGGCCTCCTGGCGTCAGGTTTCATCACCAAAGAAGATGTTGAATCCTATGAGGCGCGCATTCCCGTCCTTCAAAAGCACAACGAGGAGGGGGCGTGTTTTTGTATATTTTTGTTTATATGTATATATATATATATATGTATATGCATATGTACTGTATAATTTGTATATAGTAAGAATATGTAATGATATATATATATATAATATATATATATATCTGGGTAAATTTCATCACGACCTCACTGTTCTCCCTCACTGGAATCATGGTTAATAAGGGGAATCATCCCCAACAGATATATTATATATATATGTATATATGGCCATCACATGGAGAATGAAAACAATCACTCCAAGCCGCGATGTCGCAGGGCCTGAGAGATGTGGAGAAGGCCCTCTCGTGCACCAGGGAGTTCTCGGTCAAGTTCACTGTTCGGATTGGTCAGAAATGGTCAGAACATCTTAGAAGTGAAAGGTAGCGGTAGTACCCTCTGGTAATGACTAACATAGCTATTGAAAATGGCCATTTATAGTGAGTTTTCCCATGAAAAATGGTGATTTTCCATAGTTATGTTAGTTTACCAGAGGGTAATGACCAGAAGTTGCTATTTTGCATATTTTTACATCAATTGGATTTGATTTGGTATCCGTATTTTCTGGCCCCAGTACTGTCATCAGACTCGGTAAACATCTTGGTTTGGTACGTATAGTTTATATCTGCGATATAGGAGGGGAATACAAATCATGTCAAACAAGATCAAATAATATCCACCTGAACATCAAAGATATCAACCATATGAACCTTTGACCCTGGAAACATTCCCTATGGATCCAAGTACCTTCTTAGGAAGTGTTTGGGGTATAATTTACTATAATTTTGAGGCTTTTTTGTACCTTCTCAGACAGTGTTTGGATCCATAGGGATTGTATGTTTTGACTTGTTTTGCCAGGCTTGGAGCAAGCGCATGTTGGACACGCACCGCCCCGTCTATGGTGATGATCTGCAGCCCATGTGGAGCTCCTTCTGTGACGCCCCGTGGTTAAAAACCTGGCTGGGGATCCACCCGTGCTGGCTGGTCGATGGATTTAAGATGATTTAAGCCCTCATTTCATGGGGATTTCATGGGGATTTCATGGGGATTTCATGGGATATCAATGGGATATGGGTATGGGTCAATACCTATAGATACATTTTTAGTGGGATGACCATCCATTTACTAGCTATTTTGGGGTGAACAGAAGGTACCAGGGTTTTGACCCATCCCCACATCAATGGGATTTCATGGGGATATAGATGGAATCTACAACCACCTACAATCGAAGCTTGGATGATACCATATGATACCCCACGATCTCGGCGGCACGATCCCAATCCCAAGTATCCCAAGGCTATGAAGATGATGTATGAGGTTGGAGGCGACATGTGTCAGAAGGAGGCGAGGTTGGTGAAGTGCCCCACCTTCATCCTGTTCCCTGGCAGGTTTGGCTAAGATGGGTTCACCTTGGGAGATTTCATGATTTCATGGGATGGTATAAAGCCCACAATAAATGAAGGAAAAAACCAGTGGGGATAGTTTATGGGATTGTTCACACCAAAAATATCAAAATATGATATGGGTTTGTCAAAAAATGGTGAAGTTACCTTCAAGTTGTGGCGAGGTTGATGGTGGAAATGATTTTCTCAACCACGTGATTTTGGTGTTTTCTGTGTCCCTCAATTTTCAGACAAACCCAGTTAAATCCAGATCAAAAGGATATTGGAGGCATGCAGAGTATGTAGTGTATGGTAGCATTGCATGGTTTAGTATGGTAAATATGATGCATTTCATATGGCCATGCAATTTGATTGATGTGTTATACAATTATAGGATATTATAGATATCAGTAAATTCGAGGTCACAACACGAGTCACCATCCCCATTTCGGGGCCCATCATGGGGCCGACGATGACTGGACCCACTGGACCATACTGGACCCCTAGGCATGGCGCCAAAGATCCCCTGGTGCCGGAGCATCATCCCAAGTGGTTCCACGAGACCATTCCCAACTCCAAGCTGCACGTCTTTCCGGAGACCGGGGGCGAAGATTCTAAGGGCGAGTCGGATGTCTGGTTGATTGACGGTGGATTCCCAGCAAAAGAACGATCTAGTCAATTTGGCCAAGATGACAGTGACCTTGGCAGTGTTTTTATCATGTGCATGTTCTTTTGTTTTCCAATCGCCCAGCTAGTTTATGCTAGTTTTGCGCATGAGAATTGGCGAAATCGCCATCAGGAGGGCAAACACAACATCCACCAGAAGTTTGCCGATGAGTTCAATCGCTTGGTGCTGGAGTTCTTCAGCGAATGAGATTCGTGTTTGTTTTCGCTGGGTCTCACCATTGGCTGAGCCCGATCAGAATGGTTTTAATTTTAATTGGTAGAAAAAAGTTGTTGCGAAGTAGGGCTGAGAGATGCTAAAAGATGCTGAGAGAAAAAAGTCTCAGTGCGGTTTTGCGAAATCTTTGGAACACTCCGAATCCAACAAACAAATATGTGACACATTTACGAAAACAATCCAAAACATACAAAAGGGAGCTGAGGTTCTGGGTATGTGTCTTGCGTTTCCAATGATCCCAAATGTACTGTTCCAAGTGACATGGTCACATAGGAAGGAATGATATACTAAGGTTTATAAACCAACTTATAACTGGAGGGCACCATCTTGCAGGATAGACTATGGATAGATTATGGCCATTCATGATATAATGATATTTTGTAAATGTCCACACAACACACCCCATGTCCACCAAGTCGCAGGCCAAGCAATCCATTCGCGAAAATGCGGGCTATACCTGGGAGGAGGTGCAACGTATGCGAGAAAAGCTTGGATCCTCAGTTGGGACATGTTGGGACTGGGTCCTGTCATGAAACTACAAAAAAAAACACCAAAAATATCGGGGTACCGGGTACCCAACGGGAAGAACCAATAATATTTCATATATTGCCATATAAGCATACAATTGGAATGTAGGATATGCCAAATATGCCTTATGATCCTTATGAGAATCATATTAGCATATATAATATACCGTTCTTTGATAATACAACCCAATAACAATGGGAATATAACGGGATAGATATATCACCAAGCTAGTTGTGGTTTCGAACAGTCTAATCACTGAGACCAATCAGTCAGCTTGCTAGATGGGTCCCGGTGGTCTCTGGTGGTAAAAGTTGTTTGAAGATCAACATATTGGATTCACAGGGTTGGTAAATGTCCTGTTTTTTTGGCATTTTGAACATCACTTTCAAGTATCCGTTAGAGAAAAATTAGACCCCATAGTTGGGTGATGTTCAATTAGGACATTTACCAACCACATCCAACCACTGATTCAATCAGCCAAAAGTTGATTGGGTTGATTACCAGGTGCCATAGTATTGGTACCATATATTATACTCGATGGAAATGATACCTGGTAAAGTGGGAAACTCTACCAAACGTGTCGGGTTGATTGTTGGGGGTTTCTAATGGTGCTTGGTACCCTGTCCCTCCAAGATTGGAAGCAACGCAGCACTGATGCCACCAACCAACCTGCATGATCCATCATGATCCCGGTTCTTGTCAGGGTCATATGCTTTTCTCATCAATATATTATATGTAATTATATGTAATATATATATAATACATAAGTGTTATTATGTATATATATATATATTAATACTAGTCTGCATATAACAACAATGAGGAGTTCAACAGAATAGATACAAAAACCAACTGTCGTGGTGCTGCGATCTGGTTGTTGGTTTCAAGCTACATCCCATTTGAAGCCACATGATTCATGGAGACTGCCCGAGAATCCCTGGCAGTTTTCATCCATTTGTGGGATCATTACCAAAATTGGCTCAGGTTCTTCAGTTGTTGAAATCATGAGCCAGCCTTCTTGTTGCTGGTTGAGTCAGCTTGTTTATAAATGGATTAAACATGATTAAACAAAACAGTGTGGATAAGATTTGGATAGATCTGATATCTATATGTAATTATGCAGTGTGCATGTATATATACTGCACAAATTATAGCGAGGACAGCCGAGGCAACGAGGCAGGTTGCAGGAATTAGCGAGGTCAGCCCTTAATTTGCTCATCAGAATTAGCCGACCTCGACGAGGTAGCCTTGCATTGGTTCTGTTGCATGCTTGGGCTTGGCTAGAAAAACTTTTTTTGGGGCCAGAGGCCGGTCAGCAGGCAAGGAAGGAAAAAAAACTTTTCAGGCCCCAAAAAGTTTTATTTTCTATCGCCAGAGGCTAGTCAGCAGGCAAGGAAGGAAAAAAAACTTTTCAGGCCCCAACAAGTTTTATTTTCTATCGCCAGAGGCCAGTCAGCAGGCAAGGAAGGAAAAACAACTTTTCAGGCCCCAAAAAGTTTTATTTTCTATCGCCAGAGGCCGGTCAGCAGGCAAGGAAAGAAAAACAACTTTTCAGGCCCCAACAAGTTTTATTTTCTATCGCCAGAGGCCGGTCAGCAGGCAAGGAAGGAAAAACAACTTTTCAGGCCCCAACAAGTTTTATTTTCTATCGCCAGAGGCCGGTCAGCAGGCAAGGAAGGAAAAAAAAAACTTTTCAGGCCCCAAAAAGTTTTTTATTTTCTATCGCCAGAGGCCGGTCAGCAGGCAAGGAAGGAAAAAAAACTTTTCAGGCCCCAAAAAGTGTTATTTTCTATCGCCAGAGGCCGGTCAGCAGGCAAGGAAGGAAAAAAAACTTTTCAGGCCCCAAAAAGTTTTATTTTCTATCGCTAGAGGCCGGTCAGCAGGCAAGGAAGGAAAAACCACTTTTCAGGCCCCAAAAAGTTTTATTTTCTATCGCCAGAGGCCAGTCAGCAGGCAAGGACGGAAAAAAAACTTTTCAGGCCCCAACAAGTTTTATTTTCTATCGCCAGAGGCCGGTCAGCAGGCAAGGAAGGAAAAAACATTTTTCAGGCCCCAACAAGTTTTATTTTCTATCGCCAGATGCCCGCTTCGTGGGTTGACGGCTGCAGAAGCAGTAGGATTCAGAGTTGCTCCAGAAGAGCATTGCATCTCTGCGATAATGTCAGAGATGTCACCACCCAAGCGCAAGAAGCGCAAAGACCGATCAGACTCAGATTTAAAAATCCCTGCAAGAGACCGTGGATCGTGGAAAAAAACTTTTCGGAAGCTGAAAAGTTTTTTTTCCTTGGTGTTGGGCCCTGGAAAGAAGGCCCACAAGCTACTTTCTTCCTTCGAATTAACGAGGTAAAGCCTTAATTTGAACCTGCAAATTAACGAACGAGGACAGTAATCATGGGGAACAAATTAAGACACGAGGGAGACGAGGTAAGAATTAAAGTAATTTGGCCAGATATATATATATATATATATATACACACATGTGTGTGTGCTATACAGTATATATACATATGATGTATATAAGTATAAACATATGATACGGTTAAGTTGAGCGATCCATCGTGTCAGGTTCAGAAAGTTTGACAGAGACGGCAGTGGAGACATCGACAACCACGAAATGGCAAAGCTGGTTCAGGACCACATCGCCACTGAGTGTCCTTTAAAAAATTGGGATATCATGGGATATCATGTTCTATCTCTTGGGGGCTGAAAATATGAGATGATACTTCCATGTTTTTAAAAAACATTATTTAAGTACGTTGTTTTGGTGTCAGATAATACAAGAGAAAATTTAGGAAGACACCATGTGCATCGGAAGAATCATCTGTTTCATGGACATCTTGGGAGATTTCCAGGTGCATCAGAGCAGCATCAGCCTGATAGCTATCTCCCGGCATGGCCCATCATCCCGATGTGATGAGCACTGGGAATATCGCTCCAAATGCGGGTTTTCCCAATAACCATCAATAACCCCAAGTTCGTGAACCTTTACTTAAGACCCCTCCCCCCTAGATGAAGTACTGTAGGTCTGAATCTTTATTGTTGGGTTATCCACCCTGATGTTTTTCAACAGCACACCCCAAACAAAGCGAGGCGAAATTCGGCCTGCTCGAAGGATCATCCCACTTGGTGACTTGTTCATTAGCTGGTTAATAAGTCTTCAACTGGGTTATCCCATGTATAGTTGTATGTTATATATATATATATATTATATTATATATAAATACATCTGGCTTACATCCCATGTATATTTGATTATATTTGGCTTAAAAGTTATCAGGACATACCCAGTCACTGCAGCTGCTTCTCCCCGGTGTTTTTTGTTGCCAGGATCTTTGTCCAGACTTGGCCACGAACATCGCCAAGCGAGCGGAGATTACGCGGATCTTGTCGGAGGTGGCCGGTGGGTCATGGATGGCCTAAAAAATATGCGGAAAAGATGGTCATTGGTCATCACCCACTCCTAAAAATGTATTTTAGGGGGGGAGAGGTCAGGTAAAAAAAATACATTTACCGTTCTCCAAGAATTTGGTTCCCCAGGACCCCCCCTAAATACATTATTTGACCGGTGGGCGTACGTTAAATGTAGGATCGATGAGTCGGGATATCCAACCCCCCCAGGATCTTTTATTTTGGGGGGGTGGTTTAATACATTTTACGGGTTTGGTTTTTCCAGGATCCCCGGGAATGTGTATTTTTTTCTGGGGAATACCCTTCATTGAAACATGTATTTTAGGGGGGTTGGGTAGCCGAAAAACACATCATTTTGGGAAAATGGAGTTTATAGATCTTGCTAAGGGAGTCATTGGTACCCCCTGCAATGCATACATTTCAGAATATTTAAGATCGAGTATACTTCAGCCATTTTATGGCTCGAGGGCCCGCTAGTTGCCATTGGCCCAGAATGGTCTTCAATGGTCTTCAGCCCAGAATACTCCAGAATATTTTTAGGTGACCCCAGGTATTCCCAGGTTTCTCCATGGGGTTTCCCAGGAAGAAAAAGATCAACTGGATTGAGGTGCAGAACCCCCCATACATTTACAAAAGTTTATGTAGCCATTGGCTCTTGTCAGTGGTACCCCCCACAAAGCATACATTTTCAGGTTCAATACCCCTACTAGTAATACGTTTCCACCATCTGGCACTCACACATGCCTCATTTTGAGGGGTTACCCCCCCCTAGGTGGCGGGGAAAAACACGTACTATGTGGCGCGGCGCGTTTTTCGCAAAAATTTACCCTACGTTGCGCAAAACAAAAAAAAACACACACTATTAAAAGATATGCTCTATACTGCACTTTCACCTGACCAGCCCCCTCAATCTGACCTTCTCCACCCGGCTGAGATTCCAATCTGCCTGTATGGGCACCCCCTCAGTATCTCTCCACTTGAGCCTGTCTCTGAACCACTCAGGGCTGTACCTCTTGGTGGCAACCTCTAAGCCCATCTTCTTAGCCCAGCTCTGAGACAGCAGTTCTACAAGCCTCCCTGAGGCTGGATCAGGCCTGTAGACCAGGATCCCATTCCTGACTGCAGCTCTGAGAACCCAATTGTCATTGAAATTCTTCTCAGACATAAGATCCTGAGCATGGACAACTGCAGTGACAATCTCTAAGGGGCCAACTTTCCAAACTGAGTGCTCCTCCTTTCTCTGCTTCTGCCACTGAGCTCTGAGCTCAATGAGCTTCGTTCTCACCATGGCTTTGAACTGCTTAGAAAAATCAGTGTCTGTGATTTGAAGCTTAGAGGTGCACTTCTCAGCCACCAGGCAACTGACCTTGTTTGCCAATGCCATGGCCTTAGTTGCTGTGTCACTGAACGCTGAGATGAAGCAGTCCCTCTGCCAGAGTGATGCTGGGTACTGCTGAGCTTGAGCTTCAATGCTCCAACTGAGGATGACTGAATCCACATTGGCAGCTGGCTGCTGCATGAGCTCAATCTTAGACATGAGCTCAGGGTGGCTCTGCCTCAGCTTCCTATAGGGCAGTAATATCCTCCCAGCTGATGTTCCCTGAGTCCTGGTGATGACAGTGTCACCAACTTTGAAGCTCTCAGTTTTGAGCCAAGTGCCTGAGTCTGAGATGTTGCTCAGTCTGGCCCATTGCCCTGGGACAACTAAGAGGCCTTTGCCCACTGAGCCAATAACCTCCTCATCCTCAGAAGCATAGACATTGTGCAGGAGCTGCCTTGCCTCATAGGTGATCCTGTATCTATCCTCCCCTGAGATTCCAATGAGAGTGGTGGATCCTGGCTGAGGCAAAGCTGGCTTGGCTGCTGGTGCTGAGGGCTGACTTGAGCTCGCTGCACCTTGCTGGGTGCTGGCTTCTGCATCTTGCTGAGGGCTGGCTGGTGCAATCTGCTTTTCTGGAGATTGGCTTAGTGGAGCTGATTCAAAGCTGGCCTTCTTCACCAGAGAATCTTTCTCAGAAAGTTTGTCTGGAGAACTTGTGTCTGCTGATGCAAAGCTGAGCTGCCTCACTACTGACCCCTTGGGAGATGACTGAGATGACTCAAAGCTCAGCTGTTGTTTTGCCTTAGCCTTAGGTGTTGCTGGTGCCAATTGCCCAACAAGCATGTCAGGCCCACCAGCTGAGTGCATGATCTCCTTGATGGCTTGCCTCACGGAAGAAAATTCTTTGACATCATCAGATTTATGAAGCTCCTCCTGGGCAAAGACAGCTCTCCTCCCTGTAACTTTGGCCCACAAAGGCACCTGGTCTGAAAAGCCTATGACCAGTTGAGGCCTTGCTGATATGAACTGCACTGGGCTGCTGACCCTTTTGCTTTCAGCTAAGACCTGCTGAGATGCACATGTGCTCAGCCACAAGCTGTGGTCAAACTCCTGCCATGTCAGCTTAGTTCTGGTCTCAGCTTCAGTGGCTGAAATGTTGGTCACCAGCTCAGTGGCCATATACTTTGCATCAAGCCACCCAACAAATCTGAAAGAATTTGTCTTCCTATATCCATATTTTTCAAGCAACTTAGTTTTCCTCTCCTCTCTATCTGTGTTATCTCTGAGGAGCTCAGCTCTTTGCAAGGCAGTGATGTCCTGAGCTGATGCTTTGTTCCTGAGCTCATTTGTTGTGAGCTGAAGTCTGGCCATGTACTCAGCCATCAGATCCTGCTTAGAGATAGTGTTGCCACAAGCTCTTTCAAGACTGAGCCATTGCTTCATACTTGAGATGATATCTGGGAAAGGATGTTTTCTTCCACATCCCTCAGCCCTCTTTCTCTTAGATTTCTCTTGTTTTCTGAGGTTCTTGAGCTTGTTCTGAGACACAATCTCCTTGTATGACTCATAGTTTGCCAGCATGTGGCTGAGTTGCTTTTTGGTGATGCCATACTTCTTTACCTGCTCCTTCCAAAAATACCCAAGCTTAGTGAACCTGGGCTTCTCTGCAAGCATCTCCTCACAGTACTTCACCTTTGTCTCAGCTGAGATTTCTGCTCTTTTGGTGACTGAGCCTGGCTTCTTCCTGTTGGTACCTGATGAGCTGGCTTGTGGAGACTGCTGAGGTTCCCTCCTTACAAGCCTGGCTGTTTTCTTAGCTATCTCTATGAGTTCTGCATCTCTCTCAGCTTTTTGAGCCTTCAGCTCAGCATTTTCTCTCAGCAATTCATTCCTTTCCCTCATGGCATCCTGCTGAAATCTGCTGAGCCTTTGCCTTTTCTGAGGTACCAGTTCTTCTGAGACTGGCTTCTCAGCACCTCTCTTCTGGCTTCCTGTGCCAAAAAACTTGCCAAGACCAGACTGCACCCTCTCTGAGCTGGGTGGTGAAGACTGAGGGCTGCCAGAGTCCTTCTGAGGTGTAGATTCAGCTCCTCCACCTCTAGCTCTGAGCTGCTTCTTCACCTTAGTTGAATACAATGTTGAGGCAAATCACCAAGAAACATATTAAAACCTAATTTCAAAACAGCTGAGAACTTAAATGTTTCTAAGTGTTTTTGACTGAGTTCAAAAATCTCCTGGCTTGGCCAAATGAAGAATCAAAAAAATCTTAGGTAATTAATTAATTAATCAATATGGAAAGCATCAACCTTAGGCCATCATATCTATGACACATGCTCAAGTGCCATCAAATTTCTTCTCTGAGGTTGCCCAGCTGAGTGTCCACTTTGGAGACTGAGCCATTGAAAACATTCTTGAGCTGAGCTGACTTGGAAAGGAAGATCTTGATGATGTAGCCCAACAAGATCATGGCTGAGAACCAGCCCTTGGCATTGCAATCAACAATGTCAAAGAGCCTAAGCAATTAACTAATTAATGAATTAACTAATTGTATAATTATATGATTGTACAACTCTACAGTTATGTGCTTAGAGGAAGCTAGTGGAGAAACAAAAGTGTTTACTTACTTAAATCTTGCCTAAGATCCAGCTGAGCACTGTTGAAGAATGGTTCCAAAGCATTGAGCCTCTTGCTCAGATCAACTGAGTTGCAGCCTGCAATGCAGGCTGCATGAAATGGAAAAAAACATATTTCCCCAAGTAATAATTAATGAGGTAAACAAAAGCCCATTCAATAGCCCAAGGTTTAAAACCAAAAAGCTGAAATGCAAGCTCAGATGCTGGCCATGCTGATCCCTGAGCTCATAACCAATGCCAAGAAAGCAAAGGTTTTGAGCTGAGCTGAAATAGCCATGCTGAGCCTTGGCTGGCAAGATTTGAATTTAGCAACTGAAAACTGAAACAAGGTAATTAATTAAGTAATTAAATATACCACTTTTATATAGTAATTAATTAATTGATAACTTATGTTTCATAGGAAAAACTTGAGTCAATAAAAAAAACTTGGATACAAAAACAAAAACTTGATTTCATTCACAATCTCAGGAACTTCAAGTTGAAGTGGGCTGATAGGAATAGTCGCTGCTGAGCTCTGGATGCTGCTGTGCACACATGCAAGCTCAGAACCAAAACATCAAGCTTTGCTGAAAGTGCTTTGCTGAGAAATGTTCAATTTCCCAAATATATATATATAATAATAATATATAATTATAAATAATATATAATTATATATGAATATATATATATGATATTTTGTTAAAAGAAAACATCAACACAATTTTTCAAAAGCTAGTCCATGAGCAACCCTTATACACAATAATGTGGTTTGTTTGAGGGTACACTATTGTGTCCAGCTGCTTCCTGAGGTTATGTTTTTTTCAACCATTTCCTTTACCTTTTCCTTTAATTACTAAAGTTTTTTCTTTCACTTTTCCCATTATGTTTCTTCTAATTCTCAGAAATGCCCAATTTCCTAAAATATATGATACCTTATTAAACCCCAATTAAAAAACAACACTCAAACAATTTTTTCAAGGGGGTAGTCCATGAGCAACCCTGATACACAATAGTGTGTTTTGTTTGAGGGTACACTATTGTGTCCAGCTGCT